GTATTGCTATTTTATTACTTATTAGATTTTTGTAGAAACTTACATACCTACAAACTATTATTACATGGATTAATGGTTGGGTACTTATTTCGTAATATGTTCACAAGACATTGAAAACATATACACATTTTCCTGAAATTTCTTGAAGAGTCCTTAGCCTTACGGCTACGCCAGTGTATTTGCTATACACAATGAAATTAATTAAAAATAATTATACAAGAATATTGTTCAATGCATCTAGCATACTTATACTTATCATATAGTTAAATTTATAATATAAGAATTGTGATGTATAATATAAYGAGTTTATTATTTATAAATAATGCTGTAATACCATATAATTGCTTCTAATAATATATGTATTAACTACTTAAAAAATAAAATTAATTCACAAAATAAAAAACTGTAACGTTTGTATAATTTAACATGAATTAATATTTTCTCAATTGCCTACGTTGTTAAACAGACGTGACCATTTGTCGCAACCTTATCGTTGTACATCGTTTAAATATAAATAACACCGTGAATAAAATAAAATATTTTATTAACTTAAATGAAAAAGATTAAATTGGTTAGCCAAGATTTTTTTTAATGGCCTTCGGTGAAAAAAGTTGGTTACCGCCAGACAACTACTTGACAAGAGATGAGTGAATATGTGTGGATATAATATGTAAAATATGAACACGTTGCATTGGGTCAACATATTATTACGTATTTGAAAAAAAATGCTCATATTGAGGTATTTATTTCGTCGTCCCTCCCCATTACCATTGCTCCTGCACCTGTATGATGTTTAACATTTTTAGTCATTCTTTAAAATTATGATTTTTTTTTTTTTTCGTTATTTGATATATACAATCTATATGTTATAATTAAAGAGCATAATATGTGGTAAGGGAAGAATTACATACCTTCTTTATTTAGATACATGTTAATGAATGGTCATAAAACAATATTTACATGAAATGCTGAATGTCGGAAGTCATCCATCACGGGCACTTGCAATAAATTTGACAATATAGATTTGAAATCTATTAACGTACTATTGTTATAGGTGGCCATGACATTCGTCTCTATGATGATAACGGACAAGTTTGGCAGACGTTCTTTAATGGTGTACACGATGACTTTGATGGGCATCTGTTTACTGGCGCTGTCATACTATTTTTTTTCAAAAAAATACAACCCCCACGTTGCCGAAACACTGGACTGGTTACCACTCGTGGCCATAGTGGTGTATATATCTATGTTTTCGATCGGTTGCGGTCCCATACCGTACATAATCATCGGGGAAATATTCTCATCAGAAGTTAGTCGTAMAATATTTATTTGCACCATATATTATATAATATAATATACTAACGGTGATCTGTATACATTTCACCGTCTACGTTTGCCACTATTACAATCATTRCCTAATATATTATAATATCATAAATCTTGAATGACGAAATTTAAATGTTTTGAAAAAATATTTACAAGCGAATTAGATTTTGAAATGCTCAGGTAATAATAACCAATAACTATTTATGATGACTTTTTGTAGCTCAAGTCGATGGGCACGGGAATGTCAATAGCCACCAATTGGATATTGGTGTGGCTTGTAACATGTCTGGCTGAACCTATGGACAAATTCATCGGGCCTAGTGGTACGTTTTTCGTGTACTCCGGGTTCTGCTTTATGGGCATGTTGTTCGTCGTAAATTGTGTACCAGAAACCAAAAATCGATCTCTAGCTGTGATTCAATCGGACCTCGAAAAGAAATAACAAATCGTATTCCATTTCACCGGTGTAAAACTGTTTAGGCTGCTTTACATGTAATTGTTATCAAAATTAAATGMGGTCTGGAGATAAGTATAATTATTACATGATACATGTACGATTATATTAATACGGTAAATAATTATCGATAAAATAAATTTATGTGATTTAGAAAATTAATTGTATACTTGATAAAAATATTTCAATTATCATGTTTATGAAAAATATTTCCATGATGTTCAAACATTATTTTTTTTATTATTAAAACGAAATATACCCTCGATGACATAGGCTATTGGGTTACAAAATGTTAGTTACATTGGGTTGAGTTTACATTGACAACTATTTTATATAAACATTATTATTTATGATAATTAATATRCTAAATAATATGCTCGTAAAGTTGTAAGATTTTAAAATATTAGTTGTATTATATAAACAACCTATACTCTATAGTATTTGAACATCGTGTAAATATGCAACTAAATTTTCATTAAATGAAAAGTAAATTTCCAAAGTGTTAAAAATATCTTATTGGAATGAAAACTTAGAACTCAAAAATTAAGTTAAATTCACTGTTTTGAGAATTGTACATGACACATAATATTTATTTATACATAGCTAGTATACGTGTGAACAACCTATCTTATAATGTTTTAGCGGTCCAAATCCAAATGTTGTGTAAAATAATAAGTTGCAATACATTAATTAAATTTTTAAGACCAAACGTATTAAACATATTATTTGTAATGCTTTGAGCATAGATAAATAAGCCCCAATTGTGTCAGTGTTTGCATAGTTAATTTATTAGTAGGTAAATAGTAATGAATAATATACWYCAAGCAATAAAAAACTTAGTACCTACTTAAACTTAAAACTATTTATTTATTTTAGATATTGTATCAAAATATAATAATAGAAGTTGTACATAGTAAACTATTTATGGAGTGTAAATAAACACAAGYCACAGTAATTAACTAATGAAGAACGTTTAATATTTAAATATTATAATTTACAAGCAACACATTAAATGTTAAAATATTTTTTATAAATTATATTCCATTCAAATCAAATAGAGAATTAATAAACAATGTACCCATTGAACATTTATGTACTCAAAATTAAAGATTTAACACTACAGTTTCAAACTCAAAGATGTTTACAATTAGATTTTAATTTATTCATACTAGCTGATATTTTATTTTGTCGTAGAAAACATTTAAAGTAATAACACTAATAACTATCTAAAATATTTACTTAAACTAAATGTTAAAATAACAATGTACGCGTCATTGGTTTTCGTGTTTAAATTAAAATACGYGAATACCTTGAAATTATTATTTCGTATTGTGTCCAACCGATAAAAAAAGCGCTTGATATTTTATTTATTGGTTATTTTTTATCTTTCAATATCTACAAAATAACATAGTCTCATAACTGTTGTAAAAAAATAATAGTATATTATTCATAAAAATATATCGTTAAATATTTGTACACCTATATATATATATTATATGATTTTGAAATTCCAACCAAACCGAAAATGTTTTCAATTTCACAATATTCATAACTCGATTGCATTCTATACGCGGTTTAGCTGAAGCTGATATTTACTTATTTATTTATTTGTTAGTAATAAACTGTTTTATCTCGCGGGTATATAATAATAGTTACAATATAAAAGTTGCAGTCTCGTCGTAATAATAATATGCCTAAGTACCTATTATRTGGAAAATACAATATTACTGCCGAGTTTCTGAGCTCCGCGCAGATAACGCGACAACTATATATTATTTTTCTATACGTCGACCAGGCATATATATATTTWAGTGCTAAGCATGTGAAAATTATCGCCACAGACATCGATACGGATTTTATTAATAATAATAATAAGTAAGTATACTAAATAATATAATTGCAAACCGACWTATACCGCTGAAATAAATAATTACATTACTTTCCGTTCACGCGCAGTTAATAATGAATAACATACATAGGTACTGCAGTGTGCTGAGGCGACGGACATGAGGATCGATATTTGATTAAATACGAATCGTATAAAGCGAGTTCGACTGAATAATAAGGCGTAGGTGGTGTTATACGTGACGTTAAGTTCGGAACGTGAAATAGATAATTGGATGTGTAAATTGTTATTGCGACCTGTATAACTATAAACTCCGAACGCTTTTGTCGCGGTAAATAATGAAGACATATTGCAGATAACTCGCGGGACAGTATATATGTATACAATGGCAAGATCGATATAATTATGTCAATGAAACTATACCTGCACGGTGTGCAAACAAAAGAAAATGCGAGGATGCTTAGGAGAGGATCTCACAATAACATGACAAGCGATCATCAACATACTGATTTTACACAAAAATAGCATAAAATCGGAAGGAGGATGCGACCTTAACAACTTTTAATAACCGTCCTATTTAAATATTGCAATATTTTATCGACACTAGCGTTATTAAGAACTGATGATTATGACAAACGAAACAACATGCAATTATCTATCTAACCTATAGTCTTGATATGATCCAAGTTGGATGTSTTGGTACGATCTCGTGAATAGTGAATACATCATCTTATCATTTTTTGATACGACCAACAATTATATTTTTAAAAATAGGAAAATAAAACTCGTAATTGAGTACGAATAATATCGAATATTATATTCAACATAAATATTCTTAATAGATCCAAATATGACTAAAAAAAAAAAGCTCAAGAAAGAGACCTTGAATTTGTACAATTGATTCAATTAAACTATAAAGTGACTATATACGAGAGCGCGTAGGTACGTTAAATAATGCAATTAAAGAAACTCTGTGCAACTCAAGGGTTTGGCTGTTGGCATAATATTATATTAAACATATTTAGCTAACATTTAATGATACATTTATTTCAATACAAAATACTATTATTTGTTGTATTTTTAACTGAAAATCAAAGAAATATGTTGATTGAAAATTACAGAAGAATGTGGACATACAACTATATCGATCCTGACGTACTAACTTTTTAAATTTTATAGTATAGGTATTAATATCATTGATTTTATGATTTTAGTTTTAATTTCTCCAAGTATCTCAATCTTTATATATACTTATTTTACCATCATAATTTCCACAATCATTGTAAAGAAACTTTAGTACTTGCGTAGGTATATATAAATATTAATATAAACTATTTTTACAGAGATTTACCTATATATATATATTATATATGTCTTGGTACAGGCGGAAATAGTTACGTTAAACAATTAAGAAAATAATGATTTAGTCAATAATACATACAATGTAGCTGAAGTATACCTAATATTTCTGTTTAAATATATATTTGTTTAAAAGACAAAAATGAAGTCATGTATATACATAGTACACATGAGTAAACAACTGAAAAATGTGAGAATACGAATTTCAATTTTTTTTTTAACAGTCATTGTCGAGTAGCTTGTGGTTTAATCCTCATAAACGTAAATATAATGATATATTATTTTCTCAATATATTAATACAAGTTATTGCTATATAATTTATCCATATAAATGAAAAAATGAAAAAAAAAGCTAATTGTATTGAAAAAAAGACGTAAAATTCGATTCTGACCTAGGCGAACCGACTATATAATATAATATAAGCGAGTACTGTCACGACTTGACCTTCTCTCCGTCGGCATAGGATTAGAATGAGTAAACATATGATTGATTGATAGCATATATAATATGATGTGTAATATTATACATATATATATATATAGGTATATAACACGTTAGAACGTGCAAGTCCAGTCTGGCAAGTTTCTTAAAAAACACCAATGTTTTGATATGCCTAATATTTAGTACTTATTATATATTGTGCGGTTTATAATATTATTATTATTWTTTTTTTTTTATTGATCATAAGCCCGGCAACTATGGCCATTAGCTAATAATATATAATATAATTATTATTTCAATGTTGTAAAAGTCCACAACATTATTATATTATATACAAACGTCGCACGCCGGTTGCAATAAGATATTAAAAAACGGGCCCAAGAGAAAAAAAATACAACACTGCATCTCTACATTATAATTATGCAGCATTAAAAATAGCTGTTTTTTTTTTTTATGTAACTATTCGCCGATGAAAGTAGTAAGATTTATTTTACACTATATGCGTTATGGTATAGCAGGATACGACGCGTATTCGTTTTCATAATAATATGTAAAACCGGCCGATTATTTTTAGACTATACGGATGCTGCTGGTTAGTAATTTATATACATTTGTTGCAGCTAGTCACGGTGTTTTATTTCTAATTTCATAATTTCAATCGTCACGTGGGGTCGTTGTTTTTTGCGTTAGGTATATCATTAAAAGGTCCATAAACTGTACCTATGTACCTTAATACCTATATTATAATCCAGTTGTATGGTTGTGTCTAAACACACGATATAGGCGTACCATGCATATTAGTTTTGATGTATTTTAATTTTTTAAATAATATATTACGATATAATAAAAAAATCTTGTAATGTTAGGGCAAGCCCCGAAATATTCCACTTCCACCCGATCGTGTTCAACGCACATTATTATATAGGTAATATACAATAAATTTACTCATATAGTAAGATATCATTATTACATTATTTTTACATCCACTTTGTACACTTAACTAGCAGTTTTTAATTGATTTAGATTTAAGTAATTTTTGACTTTTCACATAATAATATGTCGACTGACTTCCACTCAAATGATCAACTGCATATGCGGTAAAATAATTATATTATATCTATATGTTTGATAATAATATATCCTTCTTGTTAAACTTTAATTTTTTTTTTTTATATTAAATTTGTCATAGTTTAGTATTTTACACTAAATGCTCTTATCTACAAAGAATATATTCACTACCGTGAAGGACTCAGTTGGTTAAATTGAAGGCTAAAAAACAAAATTAAAATTGTGTTTAATAGAATTATTTCCGAATCGTGGCTCTTTGTGTCGATGTGTGTAATATTATTTTTTATA